TCTTACGAAACATGAACCTTCAGTATACAATAGCCGCAGAGATGGACAATGATAAAAAGAAATACGTTGAAACATGAATATACGTATAAAACTTAGAGAAAAAATGTGTAAAAGAATTTGATTAACTTTCTTATTAATTTAATGGAATTACTTTTACTGACAACACCGAATTTAAAATGTTAGAAAAAATTTTTAAGGGAACGAGAGAGGATTGGGACAGAGAATGGGTATGGAAGGACGTGTAAGTTAGACAGACTGTCTCATAGGTATACGTAGAAGCGCAACCCGCAAGTCGAAAGTACTTTTTGTCGGCATGTCGATGTTAGGATGCATTGTTCTGAAAAGATCATAACGCTTTTTTCCACGAGCAGTGCTGTTCGATCGTCGGTCTTTATTTTGGAAATCAATAAACTTAATCCTTATAGCCCAGGATTAAAATACGTGCGATCTCTAATAAAAGGGAATAATCACGAGATTTCAAAATTTACGTAAAAATTTGTAAATTTCTCCTCTCATTCATTAATTTGATCTAATATCATCTTATTTAGAATAACTGCACGTACTGTTCGGAAATGAAGAGAGAATAAAGAAATGAAAATAAAGAGATGGTGGATTCTGTTGGTCGCGGTTTATATAGAAACCTTTAGAAAGTGGATTTTGTGGGATGTGTTGAGTTGGAAAGATTAGATTTTAATAAGATCTTTCCGTCTGTTGCAATAATTTTGGGGTCTCTCAATCACTCATTGAAGAGTTTATCTTAAAATCGGCTCTGCTCGTAATGTAATTCTTTTACAACTATAACTCATTGGTGAACCATCTTCTCTTGTACACTAATTTTTTAGTTTACTGTTTGTTATTGACGAGTTGTTACCTTCACCATTAGATTTTATTTAATTGATCATTGGTGAGTTCAGGGGGTTTGAGTTTGGGAGGTTTACAATTTGTTAATACTTCAGAAAAAAAGGCAATATTTCTTTGACGGTTTTCTTTTTTGGCAACTTTTTTTTATTAAGAAAATTTGTGGTTTTCGACTCAATTTAAGATTCAACAGTTGAAAATATAGCAAACATATTTTCATTACTTTTCAGGATAACACGGTATTTCGTACCCCAATAAATTTTATTTTATGAATATGCGATGAGTCTACGTTTATTAAACGGAGAATATGTTTTATTGACAGTTTTTACTTGTTAATTTTTTCTGTAAAAATTTGAAGTCTATGACACGTTTTGGTATCGAATTATTATCGCGGACTAGACATGCGTGCAAATGTAATCCTATCTCTTTTCAGAATCTCATTATTTAGAAGATTCCTCACTTTTGGTTTATGTCTTCTTCATACGTCATACACTTGTCAGCGCGCAGGGCGATCTCTTCTGTGTACATCCACAGATAGGTATATGGAACTTACAGTTTTACGCCGGTTCCAGCCTGTAAAGGAGACTTTCCTAAAAGGCAGAGTTACTCTCGATGATTCGCTTTTGCTTTCCGAGAGGTAGCAATCGCTTGCAAATCGATCAAAATTGATTTAGAATTATATTGTTCTGGATGGATTTGAATCTGAGTCTTTGGCACAGAAAGCTGACGCGCAGCTCTTGTGCCACGATCGCGCAACAGTTTTATATTACGTTTATTTAAAATAAAATTATCTGAAGAAATGGAAAATGGAAAGTACTTATAAATAGTTAAAATATGCTTAACGCATAGAATATAATAATATATTTAAAATTGTTTTATTTTATTTTATTGTTTCTCATTGTCATTAATATATTAATAATTTGTTTAACGATTTAAATACAAACTTTAGACAAACATAATTAAGTACTAGAATAATTCTTGCCTAATTACTGAACAGATATCAATCCTATCATTGTGGAAAAATATTATTGGATTAATAAAAGAAAAACTATTGCAAGGAATAGTGTATAATTAGCAATAAAGATAATAGGAAAAAGAAACTGTTCATAAAAATATATGCAGCATTATTAAATGTTTAATACTATATGTACATCTGTACACAAGAGGCACAAATACATTTATAATATTATAATATATAATTAAGATTAATATTTATTGATAATAATAATTATATTCGCCAATAACGTAGAAAAGAAGATTTACAATTAGTCATGTATTTTATAGACAAAGTTAAATATATACTCTTCATTTCTTTGTAACACATAAATTTTTATTAAATATTTTTAATTTAGAATTTTTTGAATACAGAAAGCCATTATCAAAGTCATTTTTTTTTATCAGTACGGACCTTTGATAAATGCCAATTATACTCATACATCAGCATTTGTACATTCTCTGGATCTTTTTAATGTCTGAGTCGCTCAGATTTTCTCTGTTGCCGATTCTATTTTCATCTACTTGTTTCTGAAATATTTAAATAATTACATTCCAGTATTACTACAAAAATTATTCTTATACCATATACGCTTAAAACACACGTATGTAATATATGTATATATATATACAATTGGATGCATGATGTATAACTTGCAAATTTGTATAATAATTGCTATTTTCAGAATGGTGAATCAGTATCTTGTATCTATCTCTCTTCAGAATTACTTAAACTACTCTGACAAAGGAATTAACCGTCTTACGATGTACAGGACGTTTATAAAAATAATGTCAATAATGATTAAATTACTTACCTTTGGGACAATGGTTTTTTTGGTGGTATCTATAGCAAACGCATACAATGTATAATGCATCACGCTGTAATAATCGTAAGGCTCACCATAAGCGGCGGTCGTCCCAAATGGTTCTTTCGCGAAAGCATACTGGTAATCTAAATATAACATACACAATAAAGATAGAAGTTTATGATGTAGATCTATGGAATAATCTCAGTCAATATACAACTCTTATTCGCTAGAAAAGTATTGAGATATAATGAGTCGCTCATTATCTCATTAGTTACGACATTAATAATTCTTAAGTTTAAAAGAAAATCGTTTGAGATTCTCTAAAGTCAAAATGCAGATAGAAGACAGATGGAGGAAAATTGTCGTTTGAAAAATGTATACGTTATTTTAATAATTACAAAATACATAATAATTACAAAAATTGTTGATATTCAGTTATTAATAAATGAAAAATATAAAATACACTTCAACGTAAACGTTTACATTTCAATTAAACAAATTAATTCTTATTTGATATTTATAATTACATACCTTTCGGAATATTATTCCAAATGATATTCACGTAATCATCTCGTTCGTCTCTCGTTTGTTCGTGCTCAAAGCCGACGGCGTGCATGATCTCATGTATCGGGGTACCTGTTTCATATAGACAACCAGGAGTCTGCAAGTTC